TATAATGCTCTCTTAATACTATAGATAAAGTAAATACTATAAAATATTATAATCTACTTTAGCTACTATTACTAAATATAATACTTTAGGTTAATATCTAATAGATACGCTCTAAGACCTTATGTAATATATTAGTATAGTATTAGATAGTAGTAGCTTTGCTATATACCTACTATTTACTTACTATCTATATTAGTAACTATAGTCTAAAAAGCTATAGCTCTTTACTTATAGAGATAGCGCTAGCGTAGTGTACGTCTAGTATAATTCTATACAGCTTAGAAAAACTAATAGAAATACTTATAGTATTCTTTAGTTAAATTATATAATATAATAATCTAACTAGATATTATAACTTTACGCTACTATAGATAATAATAGGTAAAGATAACTTTATTTATATTAGAGTTATGTACGCGCTTAAAGAATATATCTACTTTAAATAAAAATTAAAGAAGAAAGTTATCTACTTATTTTTTAAACAAGTAAATTATAGAGTAGTTATCTTCTTTAGCTTTAATAGTTTAAATATAGTGCTACTATAGTATTAGTAGAGTTAGTTAACTATATAACTATGCTAGTATACTTATATCTAGTTTTATCTTATAATACTAGTTAAACTTCTACTATAGTCTCTATAAACTATTATCTATTAGATTTACTATATACTTAGCTATATAGAAGTAGCACGTAAGGTAATTAGTATTAGTAAATACTACGTGTAATTTACTAAGTGTTTTTACTCTATACTCTTTAAGAAGTTTATAAAGTTATAATAATTATTAGAACTATACTAGATAATATATTAATAATAATTTAGTTATTAGCTAAGGCGTCTATACTATAGATTATTAAGAGTATTATTACTATAATTATAATAGTAATAAGTTACTCTATATAGATAGAAAGTAGTTATTTAGAAGGTAAAAGCGCGTAGTTATAAATATCTTTAGCTATAATAATAACTTAGAGGTAGATAGTAACGTTAAGAGATATAATAAACTAGAAAATATAAGAGTATTTTGTAGCTTTATTATTATTTAAATAAATTATTTTACTTTTTTCTTATAGATAATTAACGCCTAACACCTTTAGTAAAATATTTACTAGTAGTTATAGAATACCTTACTATATAATTCTTTCTTACTACTATAAATATTCTTAATAACGCTATATATACTAGACTTAATAGAAGCTTAAGCGCTAATAAGTTTAATAAAGTATAGAATATTAATACCTAATATAGTGTTAAGAATCTTAACTTTATAATAGTAAGTACTCTCTTAAGCTTCTATTACGTAGCTATAGTATATATATTTATATAGAAGGTAATCTAGTCTATTAGTTTTCTCTTCTTAAATAGTAATATAGTAGTCTAGTGTTTATCTTATATAGAGCTTCTTCTACTTAAGTAGTTTTTTCTAAGTAATATAAAGACTATAATATATTAATAATAGAGTAGCTACACTTTATAAGATCTACTTATAAATTAGCTTTAGATATTATAGAATCTAGGTTCTTGTTCTTAACTATAATATAGTAGAATATTATCTTCTTTTGTAAATCTTCTATTATCTTAAAGTAGTAAAGGTCTCTAAGCTTAAGTACTAGATACTTATAGTGCTTTATAGATAAGTAGTTAAATTAGTAAATATTAACTTAAGTCTCTAGGTAGTTATAGTATATATTAGATATAGTTCTACTAGCTCTATATATACTATATTAAATATACTTTACTAGGTAAGCTTAGTTTATATAGCTAGTAGATATATATATATATAGTAAAGAGAACTATTACTTAATCTCTAGTCTTTTTAGTAATATTAATAATATAAGTAAAGCTATTTATAGCTATACTAGAGTACTTATTATAATAGTTAATATACTAAAGGCGTTTAGCGTATATTATATAACTTTATAAGTTAGCGTATTAGTAACTATTTAGTTAACTAGAGTATATTAAACGTAGTAATAGAAGCTCTTAAATAAGATAATACTAATATAATTTTAATATATTATAGTATTACTATTAATATTTTACTAACTTTATAAGTATATAATTTTTTTATATCTTCTTAAGAAAGCTAATAGTTTTCTAGTTTAAGAAGACTACTATTATAGAGATTATAATAAATACGTAGTAGACGTATATAGCTATAAAATATTATTAATATAGATTTAGTATTAAGTTAAGATAAGAGACTAGTATTAGCTAGAAGATAAATATCTACTAGTAGGCGCTTAAAGACACTATTATAGTATTAGATTTTAAGAGCTTTATATTATACTTTATTTAGAGTTTTTAGCTTATTTTAATTATATAACTATAGTATTTTAATAATATATATATTAACGTAGAGATATAGATAGTATAATAAAGTTATAAATATATATTTATAAAGTATTATATTATTAATATATTATAATAGTATAAAATAAGTAATGTATAAAGTAAGTAGCTAGGTATTATAAATTACGTATAACTATACTATAACTTAAAGTTAGCTTAGTAGTATAAAGTAAAAAGTCTATAGCGTTAGTAAGAGCGTTATATAGGCTGTGTAGTAAGAGTAGAGAGCATAGTTTGCTTTAGCGCTACGCTGCTTTGCTGCAGGCTAGAGATTAGAAGGAGCGATAGCTTGGTTCGCTGGTTTGTTTGTCGAGACGCGAGAAGTTCTTCGTCTTGTTTCTTCTCAGCTATTTCACTCTCGTTGTTGCTGGTCTTCGCCCTCACGCCCGTTTGCGCTTCCTTTCTGCGCTGTACAGTCGTTCGTTCGTTCGTTCCTAGTCGACGCCACTGCCGTTCACTGTGCACTTGTGGCGAGCTAGTGCGTTTGCCTGATATTTGCTTGCAGCTATCGCGACACATTTTCTATTGCAACCGCGCCACATCACAAGCAAACCACTTCGTCGATACACTGCAAGATGGTCCAATTGGTATCGCTCAGCCTGTTGGCGGGCTTGAGCGCTGTCGCGTCGGCTATTCCTACCATTGAAGTCAAGGGCTCCAAGTTCTTCACCAGCGAGGGCAACCAATTCTACGTCAAGGGTATGTCCGACGATAAGGCTCAATGAGGACGCAAACTGACACTCACGTCCAGGTATCGCATACCAACTCGTTCCCGACGACCCACTCGTCGATGCGACGCAATGTGGTCTCGACTCCGCGCTCATGAAGACCATCGGTGCCAACTCGATCCGTGTCTACCACGTCGACCCTGACTCCGACCACACCGAATGCATGAAGACATTTGCAGATGCTGGAATCTACATCTGGGTCGATCTCGATACCTTCGATACTCAGGTCGAGCAGAACACTCCTCGTTGGGAGACCGACCAGCGTGATGCTTTCGCCAAGGTCATGGACGAGTTCCACCAGTACGACAACACTGCTGGTTTCTTCATTGGCAACGAGGCCATTACCACCGCAAACGGCTCCGTCACCTCACCCTACATCAAGGCCGCCGCCCGCGACATGAAGGCCTACCGCGACGAGAAGGGCTACCGCAGCATACCAATAGGATACTCTGCTGCCGATATCGCCAGTCTCCGCCCTATGCTGCAGAACTACCTCGCTTGCGGCGACAATGCGTCTGAGCGTCTCGACTTCTTCAGTCTGAATGCCTATTCTTGGTGCGGACAGAGCTCCTACCAACAGTCTGGCTATGATCAGCTTGAGAAGAATTCTGAGGATCTGCACATCCCTATCTTCATGTCGGAGACTGGCTGCAACACAGCAAGGCCACGCGATTTCAAGGACCAAGAGGCGCTTTTCGGAGAGATGGCCGATGTCTGGTCTGGCAGTATCATCTACGAATGGATCGAAGAGATGAACGATTACGGTCTTATTAGCTATGGTCCCAAGGTTGACCCTGCTCAGGCACCGGATGGTTTCCCTCGCTCAGGTATGTCGCACATCCTACACCTTCAAGATACCTTTACTAATCAAACACAGGAAAACCTACCCCAGTGGAACCCGATTTCCCCAACCTCTCTGCTGTGTGGGCTACATTGAACCCAACCGGTGTGAAGGCGGCGGACTACAACCCCACAAACTCGCCTGTCGTCTGCCCCGACTTCACTACCTCGGTCTGGGAAGTCAACCCCACCTCTCCCCTGCCCACACTGGGCCAGAAGCACGACTTCAACGGTACCCCTACGTCTGGCAGCTTTAGCGCAACGGCGACTGGAGGCTCTGGAGCGGAGGAGTCCGGCTCTTCAGGAACTGGATCTGATAGCGCGGAGACATCTGCGCCGCCCTCCACCGGTGCTGCGGCGGATGCTCTGGGCAAAGAGCTCAAAGGAGTGGGTGCGCTGCTGGCGGGTGTTATGGCTGTTTTCGCTTGGCTGTGAGTGCGATGAGCGTTGCATTTTCGGAACGCTACCACTATGCCACGCGTCTCTGACTTTCGTGGACTTTGATGATGAAGGCTTTACGGAAGACCATGTTTAATGATTCGAGTATATATTTGGACGAAAAATTGTTGGTCCAGCTTTGCATGTAGGATTAGGGCAGTAGAGTACTAAGAGAAGCTAACTCATGTTATACTCATACAAATCAATGACTGCATGACCTATCGACACATGTTCTTCATATGCACTCCGCGTGCGCGTCAAGTTTTACGGTTCGACGAAGGGCGACTTAATGTGGGACCAGCGGTTACTCACTCACATCAAAGCACGGCAAGAATGGGAAGTTGTAGTCAGAATAGTCATGGAGCAAGGTTCGCATTGAAGGACTGGGCGCCAATCAAGTACAACCCGATCGCCAGCACAGGGCTTTCCCCCATACATAGTATGGATATCTTTCCCTCATAAGCGCGTAGCATCGATCATATCCCTCAACACGTCCCCTTCCAGACATAGCATGGTTATATCTTTGAGTCGTTGTCAAATGGTCTCATATTTCCTTTTCCTTTTTACTCCTACGCCGCCGGCACATGCCAGGTTGTCAAAGACAGGGTATGTAAGAGAAGCATCGACGAAACGGGTCAAGACATCTACCACTGGGTAGTGGTAGCAGGGGCAGCGGTCTCGGCACCCCAGCCCTCGTTGCCAGTCTGAGCATCGCCAGACGCAGCCCAGTCGGCAGTGTCAGCGTCCCAGCTGGTGCCGGGGGCAGCGGCGGCCTGGGCGGTGAAAGCACCAGCAGATGCGCCGGAGACCTCCCACTCGCTGGTGAAGCCATCAGCGACGGGACCAGCACCGACCTCGTCGGCACCGGGGACCTTGGCCTCCTCGACACCAGCGCTGTCCTTGTTCTCCTCAGCCTCGGGGTCGCGGTAGAAGTACAAGTCAGTCATGACGTCCCACTCAGTCTCGCGGTTGGCGAGGGTTCCGCGGAGGCGGAGGACCTCACGGGCAAGCATCCACCAGATGAGACCGATGGCGTGGCGTCCCTTGTTGTTGGTGGGGATAGCGACATCGACGTACTCGGTGGGTGAGTCTCCGTCACAGAGGGCCTGTTCTAAGTTAGTTTCCAAATCCTCTTCCTGATTCTACACGAGTTGCTTACAATGACGGGGATGTTGACGTAGGAAGCCTCCTTGATGGCCTGCGCGTCGGTGCGGGGGTCGGTGACGATGACCAGGCGGGGCTCACGGAACGAACGGGTGATGTAGTTGGTGAAGTTACCGGGGGTGAAGCGACCGGCGATGGCAGTGGCACCAGTGTGGGAAGCGAACTTCAGGACGGCACGCTGTCCGTAGGGACGAGCGGAGATGACACAGACTATTCACTCAGTGTCAGCCAAAGTCCGCGGGTGCCAATATTCGCATTTTCCAAGATTATACATCTCGAATTGCGCGAGTAAACGTACTGTCGGCCGGGTTGTCAATGGCGACAATGATGCGCGCGGCGAGGACAATCTTCTCCCAGGTCTTGCCAATGTTCAAGACGTTGACACCGTCGGGCCTGGTCTTCCACAGGTAGGGCTCCATGTGCACCTGGAGGTTCTTGGAACCGAGGTGGCACTGGGCAGCGAGGAGCATCTCAATGTCCTGCTGGGTGGGGTTGAAGATGGCGGGGAGGTTGGAAGGAGCCATTTTGACGGTTTGGCGCTGTACGAGCTGGTCGGTATACAGGAGTTGTCGGGTTGCGTGCGAGAGACTGAGTCTACGAACTTTCGTGTTCGCGATATTCGCATCGTGGTGGGAGCGCCTAGCCGCAAGCGGACTGGCGCAATGACGCGCCGGCATCGGCAAAACCAGTCGCCGGCCATGGATCCGCAAAAGATTCGAGGGTGGTGGCAGCGAGAGTGCAGCCAGCAATGCCGCCGCGAATACCAGCCCTGTCGTGCCTGCGGGCGCCGACGTGTATGTTTAGATCTTTCTCGATCCCCCGCTTGTATTGACCTCTCCCAGCTTTCTCGACCACCAATCAACTCACCCTCCCCATCCGAACCTTCGCCTCCACATCGCACCTATACGCCGAGTCAGCTGAACGACAGAAGAAGCGCCTTGCGAACGATCCCTACATCGTCGCTCAGCGGAACAGGAAGAAGGCTGCCAATCTAACGCGCCGCGCTGAGCTCGAACAAGGCCGTGTAGCGAGTCTCGGAGACCCAGTCCGCGGTGTTGCAACACCGTTCGTAGAGTCGTTCGACACTGGAAAGCCAATTACGTACGAAGAAGGCAAGAAGATACCCAAAGACCGGAAACACCTCAACTATGCCTTCGAGCCAGAGACTGTCAGGCAACAATTGGACAGGAGCAAAGACTTGGCTGTTCCGCTGGGCATAATTCCAGAGGAGACCACGGCCCCTACGACTAAATGGTCCAACTCCATATTCGGCAAGACGCAGGCAATTCAATTGTCGGCCGATGAGATCGAGGAGCAAAGCAAGAAGGACCATGCTCGTGCTGCTGAGGCCATCGCCCGCATCACCGCTCTCGAAAACGGATCGAGCAAAGATCGCATGCGCGTGAACATCACACGCTGTGTAGAGACATTCGGGCGCCACAACACCGATAGGATATTCCCACCCAAGGCGCCATCATTGAGCCGGTCAGGTGCCGAAGAGGTCCGCGCCGTACGCCCAGAAACAAACGTTGCAGCGAATGCAAAGCGCGTCGGGCCTGATACTGGGTCGTCCGAAGTCCAGATTGCCATCTTGACAGCAAAGATCAAGACCCTGGCCGACTTCCTACAAGCCCGAGGAAAGGGCGACAAGCACAACAAGCGGAACCTGCAATTGCTGGTGCACAGGAGGCAGAAGTTGCTACAGTACCTAAGACGGAAGGAGAGAGGTGGTCCGAGGTGGCAGCATTGTATCGAGACTCTTGGGCTGACCGAGGGTACCTGGAGAGGCGAGATATCGTTGTGATAGGAACTGAATATATTCTGTTCATTATCCTGCGTCCTTGCACTACCACGTCCCATGATTGCATCGACCGTTTGTAGATGAATGCATCTGCTCATTATGAGTATTTACGCACATGTATATTATGAGTCATCAAAGCACCCTTGTATGTATACTGCTAAACGAGGTGGATCAATCCTTCCGTATCGCTTTCCCACCTTCCCATCTCAGCAAAGTCTAATCTCGCATCACCTCCCCCAGCTCTTGCGACTATGAAGGGCGCAATCACGTGAAGGGCGCAAATCTCAGGCGTCCACGAAAGGACACATAAATCTATACGACGTTCCTACCATAAGGCAGCAACATTAGCAACGAATATATCTCCGCAGGCATTACACTCTCGAAAACGACATCCTTCCCTGTGATCCCAAGAAGCTTCCATCGCTCCAAAAACCGACAATGTCATCCCCACCACCAAACCCTCCACCCCAACCAAACCCCTGGTCCAGCCAACGCCTCCACTACCGCGCCATCCGCCCCATCGACATAAACGTCTTCCACGCCTTCAGCGCCGACCACACCGGCTACGCAAACAGCAACTTCGACAACATCAAGCTGCCCGGCCCTGCCGACTCCGAAAAATTCATGAAAGGCGTCCAGAACGACTGCCTTTTAGCCGCCATCATCTGGCTGCCCCACTTGCCAGAAACGACTGCTCTAAGTGACGAAGACCGCGAAAAGGCGTTTGCGACAAGGAGGAAAAATGGAGAGATAGTGGATGAAGAATATGGAACGGCTGTGGGCGAGATCCATTTAGATATGTTACCGCCCCATAAACAGCATCACCGGAACACGGAGATTGGGCTTGATATCTTGCCAATGTATCAGGGGAGGGGGTATGGGACTGAGGCTATCAAGTGGGCGCTTGATTATGCGTTTAGGCGGGCGGGGTTGCATAGGGTTAAAGTCCGGGGTTTCAGCTGGAATGAGGGCGCGTTGAGGTTGTATGAGAGGTTGGGGTTTGTGGTTGAGGGGAGGGAGAGGGAGAGTGTGTGGTTTGAGGGGGGGTGGTGGGATGTTGTTACGTTGGGGATGTTGGTGGGGGAGTGGCGGAAATTGTGCAACGCGGACAAGGTTGGTGGATAGATAGTAATGGCTGACTGTAGCAATAGGAGTGTACGTTTCTCACGTACTCTGCTCGCGAATCAAGGCATACCGTACTGCAAACCCCCACTGCTTACATCCCTAATAACCATCGTCGCATTATTCGCCCTTTTCTCCGCCGCATCATAAAGCGCCTGTATATCCTGCTTCCACATAGTCTCATTCATCCTCACAACCTTCCTATCATAAGTCATCATCCCATTAACCTCCCCCTCCACATCCGTAGTCTGCGTCCAGACCCCGCCCGAGCAAGCAAAAAGATCAATCTGCTCGCGCAACTGGTTGAGCAAATCGTGGCAGCGATAATTCCACCAGTTCGTTCCGTTGGTAAGTTCGTACGCGGTCTGCTTCTCTAGATCTTTGAACCAGGCGTGCGCGAAGTCATCTTCGGGGAGCTGTGTGCCGATGCCGCCGAATTCGCCCTGGAGCCCGATGCGCGAACTGTCGTAGGCGGAGTCGTAGTTGTTGCCTTGGCGGGACCAGAATGGCGTGCCGCATTGCGGTGTGGAGTAGTGGTGGTTGTCGTCGAAGTCGCCGGCTGTGTGGTCCGTCCAACCACTTACAGAATTGACTAGGCGGGTGGGATCGATCTTTCTGACCATCTCAGTCAATGGGAACTCGGGCCATGGAGGCGAGGTATCCTGGCCCCATTCCTCGTTGTAGATCGTCCAAGCAAAGATACTCGGGTATGATTTGAGTTGCTCTACCATCAAAGCTAGCTGTCGGTCAAATTCGTCTTGCGCGTCTTGGCCTGCTAATCGCTTGCTACCACAGCCGTCTGGTAGATCTGGTCGCAGAGAAGGCATGTCTTGAATGACCAACATCCCCATCTCATCGCAAGCTCTGTAGAACAAGGCTGGTTCCACTTTGATGTGCTTGCGTACCATATTGTAGCCCACATTCTTCAGCACCTTGAGATCGTACACCATGGCTTCGACACTTGGAGGTGTGTAGATTCCGTCTGGCCAGTACCCTTGATCCAGCGTGCCGAAGGGGAAAACAAACTTTCCGTTCAGGAGTGGGCGTTGTATGCCGTTGATGGTACCACGGGAAACAGTCCTGAATCCGGTGTAGCTTTGGATGGTGTCGCTAGCCATTTTGATGGTTATGTTGTACAGGGTGGGACTATCGGGAGTCCATAGTTCTGGTGATGGGACGTTGAAGGTAAATGCGGATCCGCTAGTACCTTTCGCTGTCGCCTTGGCATCGGTCGAGCCCAGTTCATGAACTGTGATCTCGTATGGGATGTTCGTTAGGTTGGTGCTGCTGTGAACAGTCACAGTCACTTCGATATGTCAGCGATGACCATCGGAGAGTAAGGTCCATGTTTACCAGTCCCATCCATATCCGCTGTTAGGTCCAGCTTCGAAATATGCTCTTTCGGTGTTGACTCAAGCCACACGGTCTGCCAGATACCACTACACGGTGTGTACCAAATCATACCCTCTCGGTTCAACGTTTGCTTTCCGATCGGTATTTGGACCATATCCACATCCGTCGGATCGAAGGTGTATACCAGTCTGTGATGACATCAGCTTTGCCTCCAATCCTCGGTTTTCGATACTTACAGTTCGTTTGTTCCATTTGCGCTCAGATATTGCGTCACGTCTACACTAAACTCAAAGTATCCACCTCTGTGGAAGCCAGCATTCTTGCCATTCACGAAGATGGTGGCCTCATAGTCAACAGCGCCAAAGTTCAAGATAACGTTGCTGTCACTAGGCCATGATGATGGCACTACGAAGGATGTCTGGTACCAACTCCACATGCGACCCTTTCCTGTCACACCTGGGCTTCATCAGTAACCTGTCTAGTCGGAAGTCTGGGTTGACTTACCTGACAGAGCACTCTCAAGGCAAAAGGGAACTAGGACTGGGTTTTCCAATGTCTGTCCGAAAGGTGGTGATGCGTCCGAACCGTTTGTAGTATTTCTGTATCCCCATACACCATTGAGGTTCTTCCAGTCTGTTCGCTGAAGGCGTGGTCGTGGATACTCTGGCCAAGGATTGGTCCCCACTGTGTCCGTCCATTCCGTCTTGAGTGGAGTATATCCATCCTTGTAGTCTGTCCGATTACTTTGACGCGGATGAACCGTATTGAAAGTGGCAGCAACAGCTGACCACGCCAACAACCCTGTAACAAGCCCGAAGCTGAGCAGCATGATGAAGATATCGGTTGGCAGGTGCGCATCCAAGATGCGGTAAGGAACCGTTGAGATGCGGAGGACGACGGCGGCTTTTAAGCCTTGGGTGGGTTCACGACAACATGGTTCAATGGTACCTGTGACGGCCTTGCAGCTGCATATTGGTATTCTTAGTTCTTGGAATAGCGGCGGGATGATCCTGGTGGCTGCACACCGTCGACGATCATGCTACTACTGAGGTAGCTCGGCGCATGTTTGGACAGGCCAGAGTAGTCGCGTGGCCGGGCCGGCTGATCTGATGCATGGCGTTCAGTATGCGTTTGCAGAGCATCCGGTTACTGCATAAGCCTGGCGCCTTGGAAACGACGAGGCTGACGGTGGACGTCGAAGAGGTGGTTGTACGTCAACGCCGTGGATGCATGCCTGACGCTTACCTACCTGCAGAGTGTCAGATGCATTGACGTAGTAGAACGAGTCTGATCAGCTGCGATCAGCGTCTTGGCTACAGGGCCGGTAGATTCCCCGCACCATACGGATCAAATGGGGCCGGATTCTAGGTTCGGACCAGCGAACAATGACCCGAAGGTGGCATGTAGACATTGCAGACAACAACACGTTATGAGATCTGACAGCGAGAACGTTGGGATACGATTTGAGGCAGTCAGGAAGGCACACTGTCGATACTAGACCTGCGCAATGGACATGAAATTGTTGGCGATAGTCTGACAGAGTCCTGCAGATGTAGGATGCGGGGATACCCCGCCTCAGCAAATGCGGTTGATGAGATAAGCGTCAGGTTGCGACGATCTCGCATGCGGCTCAGAGATACACTCAGGAACCAAAGGTCTACAAATGTCCGTTAATAGTTATTAGGTATATTCGTGCTACGTTGTAGGAAACTCGAACAGTAAACTCGCTGAGCTGTCAGGATCGTACAGGGCACGCGTATGTCTGCGTAGGTGTGGGGCACTTCACATGTGCTGTTGCTCACTACATGCCTGTAACATCGGCATTCTCTAGCCGTGTGTGTGCATGCCCGCCATTCGCATGATAGCAGTGCTCAGGTCGTTCACCACCTTCCTATTTCTCTTGCGATGTCACCCCGTGCCGTAAGGCTGGTACCGCCACGTGCCACCCAAGACTGCACTGCATACAACCCCGCAATCTATAGCAACCTCGCGGATGTCTGAGTATGCTCAGATGATGAAGATGCAAGTGGCGGTTGAACGCGATGCCTGCTCGGGTCTAACATTATGGGTCTCGATCCTGCAGAATCTCATGGCATCAGCATGAATGGCTTGCTCCAAGACTTCCCCTTCGTGGCTGATGACGTCGGTCTCGAAGGGCTTGAAGAGCTTGGGAACATTGGCGACATCGGGGAACGTGGTGATGTTGGTGAAGTGGGAGAGCTCGGTGGTATTGGAGCTTCCCTCGGTGATTCATATGCTCTGCCAATTTGGGCTTGCGTGGCTATGGGTTCTAGCGTCTTTATCGAAGCGCTATCATCTTCCTCGATACCAAACAAGGTCGTCCGATCGGAATACGAGTTCAGTATCGAGCTTACACGCGTCGTGCTCGAGCGAATGGTATCCGCGTCAGAGGTACTCGAACTTGTTGAAGTCATTGTCGACATTGTCATTAGCGACGCTCTATCCGAGCCGGAATACGACGATGCCGCCACTCCGATATCATGTTTATGAGCGCCGCAATGGATGTCGGGTATGGAAGTGTTTTCAAAGAGAATGTCGAAGATCTTGTCGCGAACATCACGCGCCGCGGGGCGAAGCATGGGTGCCTTGCTCAGCATACTTCGGATGACCTGTAATATGGGAGGAATCGCACGAAACGCGTCGTCGTCATGCTCAAATGAAGCCTTTTCGAGTGTGTTCATCCAAGTCTCCACCTTGTCAAGATTGACATGATACGATGAATCAGTTCGAGAGTTCTTGCCGCCAGTATTGGTCCTTTGCTTCGATGTGCGGTGCTTTACGAAATCGTGAGGCTTCTTCTTCAGCATGAATGTGATGATCTCCAGGAAAACACAACCGAGCGAGAACACATCTGCCTTCTCAGTCTCGTGTACTCGCGACCGTTTCTTCGGTGTAGGCTTCGCCTTCGACTTCTTGAATCCAAAGTTGAAACCGGAGAAGTCCGTTGTAGGTGCTTTGGTAAGCTTCTGCCGTTGTGAGTTATTACTGCCAGATGACCCCGACGAACTCTTGCTAATCATCGAAGCATGTCGACCGTTTGGGATAGTGGGTGAAGGCGCAGGGTCATTGGGGTCGAAAGGTCCTGTGCTGATGTGTGTCTCTGGCGCACTGTATACGTAGGCGTCCATCGCGTCGGGCTTCTTGTCTTTCTGAAACGTCTCAAGGCTACCAATGTCGCTAAATGCTATCGCATTCTGCTCGTCAATGAGAATGTTTGACGGTCGAATGGCGGAGTGGCAGAATCCATTCTGATGCAGCGTTGCGATGGCGTCTGCCAGACAGTGCAGCCAATTAAGTACTAGCCATCTCCGGTCAGGCTTTAACAGCTTCTGGTACTGAGTCGGGTTGCGGTGATCAATGAAAGTGCGAAGAGTATGCTGCCCTACAAAGTTGGTGACGATGTAGCCGTTGCCTTTGGAGGTATACGAGGCCCATATTGGCGCAAGATGCTCATGCTCGACCATCCTTGCGCTTTCGACATCCATCTTGAAGTCCTCTTCGAACGCATCCGGGGTTTCTGGGTCGCCCAGCGGAAATCGCCTGCGCACGTAGATCTCCCTTGGCTTCTTCGGTAGGTGCATACGTTGCCAAGCCTGTAAGCTCACTGCCACTGGCAGAGACATTACATTCTCGACTGGAATCTCCTCGTTGGGCGCATAATCGATATGTATGCCTTCCCGCAATTCTCTTAGGAGGAATGTGAACTGTGTATGGTAGAAGCGAGCATCGGCGTGGTTATCGCGGCGGTTCGACAGCGAAAGCTGCTCAATGTCGTCCATTTCCAGAGGCAAATCGTCGTCGTCCCACGATCTGTCAACAACCGCGAAGATCCTATCCGCTTCGCCAATCTCGACCAATATCAGGAACAGTCGTCTTGCTTTCTCCAGAATCCATTCGATATAGGTGTCGTCGCTCAGATCGCCGAAGCCGACAGGTTGTGTAAGACGCTCCCTCTCTTTCGGTTGTAGCCTTGAAGTCACGAAGTCGTGGTTGACCTTCTCGTTGATTCGCTCCTCGGTCCACCATATCTGCTGGAGCGCGTGCTGCGGGGTGACGAGGCTGTGCCCAGCGTATCCATAGATCAGAGCATTCAAGGCGACCGTTTGGTCGTTGACGACGTTTGTCAATGTCCGCGCACTCATTGTGCCGAGTGATGGGTTGTGGTGGAGCCCTTATGTCTGCGAGCCCCGCGTGTTAGTACAAGACACGAGTCGTGCGCCGAGTCGTGAGCTGGTGATCATCTCCAGGAAGAAGAAAATCGGATGACGGAGAGAGTGGCTGTCAGGCTTCAGTAAGTATGGAGTAAGACAATGCTGTTGTCAGGCGTCAGCGGGGCCAGAAACATCGGCTGTTGATTGTGGTACACAATTTGATCCGCCTCTCGGAACGCCTCTGGTTGTGGCAAGCGGCATGGCGACGAATACATGGCGTCGGGTCGCCGCTTAGAGGCCAATCACCAGAAGAAGGGCAATAGAAGGCGCATGCTTGAGCGTCGTTGGCATAGGGCGAGGTAGGGCCTTTTGCCTGGAAAGGTCTGCGTGGCCCCGAAAGCGGCCGCCATGTGCAACGTGACCAGGGTGTTTCCAGGCGGAGGGTTGATAAGACATGGTGCAGCAAGCGAATTACAGACGCAGGGAGACGGATGCTAAACTAGCATACCAATAAGTTTTGCGGAGGGCCGTTCCTGGAGCGGGGCGCATCGCGTTTAGCAGTGGGCGGTGGCAGCTATTGTGCACGCCAACCCTCCCCAAGGGCGGCTAAAGGTGTGAATGCAGTCTGTCCCCAGGCTCTAGTTTTCCATCCAGCTTGGTGTTGCCTCTTTAGTCGTATCTCGCGATGTTTCTGGCCATTTCGCGAGATCGAAGATTGGGCAGGCTCCCCTTGGAGGCTGTCGCAATCACAGGAAAGCTGCTGGTGCTGACAGCGGCGGATCAGCACCTAGATGCGGCTCAATTTTGCATCACCCGATGCTCATGGCGCGATACCGCCCGCAGTCGCTATCATACAGTAGCACCATGCAGGCGACTGGCAGCGATTGGAGATAGGATACACCCGGTCGGGATGTCAGAACCGAGGCTACGCAAGATGCCAACTCGACATAAGATGAGATGACGCCCTGGATAGATGAAAGCAGATTGCGGCGTGCCCATGGAATAATTGTATAGACGGCGACATCTCGGCTTGGTGGCATGAATGATTACTGTACTGGTGGAATGGCGTCTGATGGTGTGCGAAAAACGGCGCAATGACTCGCGACCGGACGCCTGAGGCGAGCTGTGGTTTGGGGAGCTCGGGCGCAGCGGAAGCACAACAGAATGTGGCGTTGCACAGACAGCTGTCGGTCGCCATCCAGAGATCCTTCAGACGCACTTGCATGGAGTCCAATGTCGGTGACTCTTTCTAGACGCGGCGATTCGATCGCTGGGCAGAGGAAGGAGCTCCTTGAAGGCGGCAATCTGCGACTGCCTCTTCGCGATCAGCCCTGGAAAGCACGGCCAACCCCACGTCTCCCATTTCGACGGTTCGCCCACAATTTTTGCGACCACTGCCGATTCACACGTGCGCTGTCAGTTTGCACGTCGACTTGAGCAATGATCTTCCGACGTATAGCTGCTAGTCGTGAGACACCGAAGAGTGCCCGTCGGACGGGTTCAATCATCACCAGAAAGGGCAGTGAAGAAAAATCATCTCAAATCGTTCTGGCGCACTCGTCATCAAGATCTTTCACAAATCGGTATAATGGTATGCATCCACCCGGTCTAGATACCGACACACTGCAGTCTGCTCCGATCGAACTAAGGTGCTCCACTCTTCAATATCTCAAGCCATCCTCCATTCCTCAGGCAGGGTTGATAGAAAAGAATATGTTCCCCTCGCTCGGAGCTTTGGTAAGCTGGTTGCCTCCTGGATGAATCCCATTCGGCCACACAATGCTACCCCCATTATCTCCCGTAACATCTAATCGGCTACCCGCGAATGGCGCCCCGAAGACAGTGCTGAGATCGTACCACACCGTCCCGCCATCCAGGTTGTATGCCCACACCTGCTGAGGAGCACCGGAGTTTAGACCGTCCGCCTCTTTCGTCATCTTGATCGCAATGCCTCCGGACTTTTCGTCATGATGCATTTCTTCCCAGTAGATACCGCCTGTGGCTGTCAGTTGAAGACGAAGTCAAGCTCGCGTGTGACCTACCGGCTTTGATGTCATGGCGAGGACCGACTGTGCCGCCGACAGACCAAACATAGATGGGATCTGGTGAGTTGTTCAATACGACAGCGATGCCGGCAGCCCTGACTGAGGCTATCAGGGCCAGGAAGCTGGGGATGATGAGGCGCATGATGTACGGTGTTCAAAGCGAGCGTGGTGAACGAGCGGCTCTAATGAAATATGAGACCTAGCAAAAGATGCCTCAACGACCGAGCGACAGTACAACTTGAAGCTTTCGCTTCTCCGTTTTATACCGCCCTCAGCCATCGTCAAAGTCCCTCCAACAGCCCCTCGACTGACGCGCAAGTCCTCATACGAGCATCGATCACGTCGACGCCATACTGAACCGTTCGCGAAGCCGTGTACGGGACGACATATTCCAATGCCAGTATGTATAGACCAATCCAGAGGTCCTCTTTCTTCCGATCGAGGTTACACGGCAGATGAACAAGCATGTATGTTGTGACACTGTACTGCCTTCGGATGATTTCAATACTCCGATATAGTGCTCGGTTGGCGGCGCATGACGATGTGTTGGTTGGCAATACATTTAATATGGCTGTTTGGATCTATCGGACGAGAATGGCTTTGGCTCGCTTGTCGACAATAGAAGACTATGTTTACCGATGCATCCCTGCAGCGGCCTCGCGACGCAAGGCTTTTGAGTTGAGCGGTCCATCATGTACAACGCCGTTGCTGCCTTGCATGCGATACATTAGCCGAGGATTGTTGCGGTGCTGGCGATCTGCTGGCCACAGACACTGCCCGAATCATCAGGCAGCAGCTTTGCAGCTTCAATACATCGTGCAGCTGAACTGTTGCAGTGTCCTCTAAGGGAAGTCCTGCTTGAATTCTCGTGGGGTCTAACCTCACCAACACTTCAACGTTGGAAAAAAGATAAGCTTGATGCTCAGACTTGGGGTCAGGTCAGGCCGGAGTAGGCGCAGTTGTAGTAAGGTCAGCCCTTTCGGTACGAGGCGATCGGTATGCTTGCTAGGTAGATCTTTTGTGCGGAATGATAACAGATGTATTGAATAGAAGAAGGCGATAAGCATAGCAGCAGCATCTTGCCTGGTTCGATGAAGATTCGAGTGTGTATTAGTTGAGACTGGCAGGTGCGACCTGCACCAGCCTTTCATGGTTAGCGTCTTGGCATTGCGATCAGGTCATTGACATTCCACGCTCGACACAACTCCAGTAGCTATGATGACACGCATTCTTTCATTCTCTCCAGTATTTGGATATTGTCATTCGATCGTCTATCCGATAGTCTGTATTCTTTCCGAAGTGACGCGTGAGGACGGCATTGATGCAGTTGCGGGCCGATAGGACTCCGATAAATACGTGTATGAAACTCAAGGCACCGGCATTTCTGTGCTGTTGATTCGCGACTTGCTACCAAGGCTTCGCGTGTGCCTGTGGGAAGCGCGATGCTGCGTACGCGATGGCTGTATACGAACTCCACCCCGCTGCTTTGCGTTAGAATCAGCATAGCCCAACGCCCGAATCTGAGATGCACCACTCACAGCGAGTCTCATCGAGACAGGCGAGCGACCCCATGCTGGAGCTTCGCGACGGCCTTTTGCCAGCCCCGAGTAGCTTCAATACAGGACTGTGTACGCGGTTCTCTCCTCACCTTTGCACATAAGTTACGGAAGACGCCTCTTCATCTCAATACTCAATAGCATCCAGAGGAAGTCAGAATACAACATGGCTGCCACAAAGGACGACTGCGACTGCCCAAATCCAATCCTGTGGGAATTCCCGGCGCCAGGCAACCAGGATCTGATGCCTAGCAAGCACCCTCAGAGCTCTAGCTTCGAGATCGAGCAGTACCTTGAGGCTTCCGCTCACGTCCCACCTACTTCCGGCTTTGGTACCGTCCCGGTATACATCAACGACCTTGTCAAGCTTACCTGGCCTTCGGACTTCAATGTTCCGGCTGCCAGTCACCGGAACCTGTACTGCAAGCCCTGTGAACAGGACAATAACTACAACACAAATCAGAAAGTGTTTGATTGGGAGTCTTGCTGTAAGTCTGTTCCATAGTATAGCCCGAATTGCCGAACGAGATATTCCCGAGGTCGTGTGTATGACAAGACAGATCTGACGGTCACGCTAGACGAGAAACCGGGGCATGGTGGAATATGGTCCACAAGCTTCGACGTGATGGGATCAGGGATGGCTAAAGTTCCAATCAAATTCTCGTTCACGCCTGAAGCGGATACCATGGTCTGCGCCTTGGGTTTTCCTGGCATGCTGGAAGGAGGCCTCTCGCAGGCCTTCCCCGTCATCAACAAGCAGCCACCATCAGAGAGAGGTCGGCATCTATTCACAGAAGATGACCCTGAAGGTGTGCCGTGGAAGGATGATGCGACAGCGCCATTGCGAATGCACCACATTGTTGGCATCGTGTTAGCGGTTGCGCTTTGCATGGCGTTTTTCGCCCGATTGTTCTGGCAGAAGAGGAAGCAGAGGAAGGCGTCGCAGGCTCTGATGGCTCAAGCTGAGAGCGGTGGTCTTATGGATGGTAGCAAGACGAGATATACCGATGATATGTAGGCTGTTAGATGCTCAACTGAGCGGGGTCGTCATGCGTCCAACACGCTGGGGTCATAGCTGTAGCCATAGTAGCGATACACGATACACGAGGATTCAACTCTTCTTCCATTGATGTAGGCCACTTGATATACAGCTGTTTCCGGCGTGGGTGGAGTTGACGAGCAGTGGGCTAAAATTAGTGGTGCAGGAGTGGGGTGGGCTAGCTGCGGGAGACGGCAAGCGGAGCGTCCCAATCCAGACCGGCCGGCGTCGCGACTTCCAGTTGACGTGAACAACGCAGCTGAACTCCGCAAACAACTGTCATTCCACTCTGGCCCACTTTGTTGGTAGCGTAGCGTCCGCAATATTATCCTTCTGTTCTCTTTTTTCCCCTCGCATTTAGGCAAAAGTCTCAGAGGTGGACGCGTAGAATGGCGTCCCCTATGCTTGAAAGTCGCATCGAACCGCACAAGAAGGCGCACTTCAGTCTGCACATCAGCGACCGCATAACAGGCAGCGACGACGCGCCAGGGAAGTTTAGCAGCGTCAAATGTGAGTCTTGCCTGCAATCTTCCTGTCCTTGTCCGCTTTCTAATCCAGAGGGTAGACAACCACAAGCCCCCACAAACATCCGACTCGCGCTCTACCACGCTTACTTCGCCCTCGTCGACCGGCCTATACAACCTCCGCATCGACGACACGAACAGCTCGGGCGACAAGGACATCTTCACATTCACAGGGCAGAAGTCACAACCCAAGAAGTCATACGTCCTCGTATTCGATCCCGCCAGCCAGCAGGCCACGCTCGAGCCGCTGTCCAGCAGCTACACCTTCAACCTCGCGACCAAGAACGGCAAGGACGTCTCGTCACAACACGCCAAGATATATCCCAAGAAACTCAAGGGTGACACAGAGGGCAAAGACGGCGAAGATGATCTCTTCGGCGAGGCGGCGGCTGACGACGAAGGAGGGGACCCCGACGCAGACAACCCCTACGACTTCCGACACTTCTTGAGCAAGGAGAAGGAGAAACGGGGCGACGAGTCGGAGTACAAGTACGCGTCCTCGCCAGACTACCGCACAGGCACAGGCAGCGCCGTCAATACACCTCAGTTCGGGGCCCGCGCATCTGCGACTGCCGCTCCAGCGCGGAAGGCTGCTGCTATACCAGCGCCCAAGAAGCGCAAGACGGCGGCAACGAACCCCATGGTCAAGCCTAAGAAGACGCAAGCCACACCAGCTGTCCGCCTCCAGCGCACCGCGACCGACACAACACCAAAGCCCAAAGCCAAGCCCGCAGCACCGCCAGCGTCGAGAATCAAATCCTCCGAGGTCATACACTCGTCTGACGAATCCGACGGCGAAGCAGCTTCCTCGCCAGCACATCCATCGCCTCCTCACCAACAACATCAGCAACACCACGAGTCCGACGACGACGACGACGCAGAGGGCGAGTCAGACGATGACGGTGGCCTCGAGATCGAAGTGCCCGATGCACGCCCACCACGACACAACAAGGGCGCAATGGCATCTCTCGGCTCAAACCTCAATGCGGGTTACCTCCGCTCCCCCTCAAACGGCCCGATATCGCTCGCCAGCGCCGCCAACAGCGACGGCGAAGGCTCGCCGAACCCACGTCGCAATCGCAACGCTCAAGACGAGATTGACTTTGGTGATCTGGGCGGCGACGATGCGGAAGGTGAGGACGATGATGAGGACGATTACAACAGGGACATTGAACCTATGGACATTGGTCCACCTGCGCGACAGGAGACCGCGGGCCATGACCGAAAATCTAGCATGGCTGGTGAAGCGGCGGCAGCGGATGATGACGAGGACGATCTTGAGGAGCTCATGAGGAGGGGCTTGATGGGCGGGGACAGCAGTGAAGAGAGTGAAGAGGAGTGAACACGTTGTCATTAAGGTTTTGACATCTGTCTATTTGATGTTCCGCCTTCCTGTTCTATCGCACATGAGCACTCCTGTATCTGGTTGCGACAACTAGTTCGTTCTAGATCACATTGCTTGCCCAACCGTCACCGTTGGAGGCGTCACCGCCGCTTGTGCTTCCTGTGGGCGAAGTGAGAGAGAAGACGACTCTCGCGCCATTTGTGGCTGCGATGAATAGGTCATCGGTTCAATCGGCCCCGGCTGCGATACCAGTTTTTCATACCGATGCTCGATCTCCTGGTCTTGTTGTGTGAGGTTGCAACATGGGCAGCATCCGGCGTTACAGAAGTCTGTCCACGCATTGCCTTTCAACCCATACTTCTTTCGGATCTTCCTACGGTTCCAGCAAGGCAAGATCCAGCATCCTGTGCAGCATGTAGCACAGTGGACACCGAGACATAGCCAACACTTTGTGTTCATGGTCAACACGGCATAAACAGTAAAGAGGAGGGTGACTTACGTTCCGGCTGCAACCGTTGTATCCGTTCACATTTCCTTGATGTTTGTCTCGGTATAGAACCCTGCCGTACAAGATCCATGGACAGCAGCATGAGAGCCAGGCTATTCAACCCTATCAGTCGGTGCTCATAGTATAGGATTGGGACTCGCACCTGTGCTAGCCGGGGTGCAACAATCCACTCTGCCATGGTAGTGTGATACTAAGGCTATATAGCTCGTGAGGGTATTGAGATGTTGATGGTGGAGGGCTGCATCAACACCAACGAAGAATATAAAGCCTGTATGACTCTATCTTGCGCTCGGCCCCGTCGATGACTGAGATACTTGTGTGACATTGGTATGTTGGTTCGTTGATACCTGGTCTGAGCGTCGGATGTTTTCAAGCAAGTAGAAGCACGGCAGTCAGTTTCGAGGGGAGAGGGAGTGGTTTTGATGTACACATCGTTTTGTCCTTCTTTTGAAATCCCGCACTCTTTTGATATATCGGTTTAGTTGCTCATATAGCAATGCCTCATGTGCATGACACGTATTATTAGGTCAGACTAACGCTTGGGGTTTTCAGGACACATGCAACAAAGGAGCGGTAAGTGGGACGAGGAGCATGTGCCCGATTTTTGTGTTCTCATATCGTAGCAGCCATCGGACGTAAGTAACCCAGAAAATAACCGAGGCTCAGAAGTCATGCCGTCGCCGTTCCGCAACACACGTTCGGGGAGTCGTCAATGACAGCTCTCAAACAGCTCCGTCGCACTCAACCGCATACTGCTGCTAACCTTACTTCCCCTCCTCACATGCTTCGACGCAAACGCCCTATCACAAGTTAGCACTACCTTCCATATAACAAATCAACACACGACCACTTACACATCCCCAACAATCTTCCTCAAAACCAGACTATCCACCCATTCGCCCTTGATCTGTGTCTTCTCCTTCGTCAGGCTATGTCTTTCGAACCCTAGCCTCTCCGCCAACTTCCAACTTCCCTCGTTCCGAGGATCGCACTCGATTTCCATTTCCAGCTTTCCTTGGTTCTGCAGTCGCTCTTTTAGGGCGTCGATGAACGCTGTCATGGCTTCTGTAGCGTAGCCCTGACCTTGCATTGAGGGCAAGAAGGAGAACCAGAGTTTGGCGTGGGTGACAGGCTTGATAGTAGATTCGCCTGGAAGGGAGTCGGAGTTTGCTTGAGAGGTTCTGGCGCCGACGCGGCCGATGAATTGTTCGTCGAGCGTCTCGACAGCGAGTTCGTACTTCGTTCGTGGCACGTCGTTGTGGTTGCGGATGTTTTCCAAGACGAGCTCGCGAGCTTGTTGGCGTGTTCGCGGGGGCCATTCCTGGTAACGTGCGTTTTGATCGTTCCCTTCGAGAAGAAAGTAGCCTTCCTCGTCCTTCATCACGAACTCACGAAGGAGCAGACGAGGTGTCTTGATGGCACCGAAGCGCTCACCCTTCACGTTTGCGCGGGCGATGGCTGCGAGTTCTTCCTTGGTGAAAGTGCCGGAGGCTTTGAGAATCTTCTGAATAACGTTCCCCTTGGCCACCATGTAGTCGACGATGTTGTTTGCTTTGGCCGCGAGTTCAAGCTTCACTCGCGCGTACTCATCCCTCAACTCGTTGTCAGAGCGTAGCGTATCTCGCAAGCTGAGGTGGTTGCGCGTTTGTGCAACACCGTCAACACATAGGTAAACGTTGTGGCGATTGGATTGGTTAGGGTCTTTGAAGGCATGACGGTCCACGATCCCCAGCTCCCCAAGGTAGTCGAATCTTCCTTTCTCGATGAGAGCGTCGATAGCAGGCTGAACATTGTCGCGAGTGACAATGATGTCAACATCGATGATAGGTTTGGCGACAAGTCCCGGTACTGATGTACTACCCACGTGCTCGATCGAGAGGTAGTCGATGTCCTGTAGGTGATGTTCCAACTCCGACTTGATAGTTTCGAATTGCTGCGGCCATTCCTTGTTGTATTGCTCAATGATGACGGACATTCTTGACGATAGAAGAGAGGCGTATAGTAAAGCACTAATCAAGTCGGCGGCGCCTGGTCGAGGTTGAACAGGTGAATGTGTCGGCTAAACCTACCAAGCTTGTGGAACGCTCTCGCTTCTCACCCGGGCGCGCCCGAGGGGTGCAGGAGCAAGAATGTCGGTGTAACAAAAAGCATGAAAAAAGCGCAGAGACAAGCAAGATAGCGGAAACCCGAGGTTGAGGTGGTACATAGAGCCAAGATGCCGCTTGGGCGCAAAGGGCGAATGCAACGCGGAGATACGGGCAAGACTCCGACCCGCTTGATTTGATTGCGCTCCAGCCTCCAGACTTGTTGAACTAATCATACTCTTCAATCTTGATCACAGGTATGTCTGCGTATGGCGGAGGCGCATCTCGGCCCAACAGAGCAGTCTCGGCCTCTGAGTCTGTGCCAGGCTTTTCCTGCTGTCTCTGCAGAAACAGGCGACGTGCCATGACGAGGCTAGCCGCAAGCAGTGCAAAGAGCGGGAGAAGTAGGGCATCCTTTCCAACCTGTATTCTGCCAACAAAAGCGTTCCAGACCCTCGACAACGTGCCAAATTTACCGTACTCGTCCCATTCACGTGGGTCAAATGTTGTTTGCATCATGGCCAGCTTGCCACACTTCATCCTCGGCGGTGGCATCTTGCCCTTTGCGGAGACGACTAGTACTTCTTCGATGGAGAGTATATATCCACCTTCCATATTCCCATCGTGTTCCTTGCGCACCAAGATCTGAACAATCCTCTGACCCAACTTGATTGGTTCAGCAGTCTCTCCCCATGGCAAGCCAGTCGCATTGAACTGGAGCCACCAGAGTTCTGGTTCGTCGGCGCGGAAGACTGTATGCTCATATTGTAGGGGAAACAGTATCCTCCGGTGTCTGTTGGGATTTGGGCCGTCTTCGGAATCCGCATCCGTCTCTTCCTGCTCCACCTCGGTGGTGACCTGCTTCGCGTTTATGTTGAGAGGCATGGGATCGAGAGGGAATATGCGCTGATCGTTGAGAAGTAACGCATCGTTAAACTCGGCCAAGGCGAACTTAAGCAACTGGTCACAGTCAGTCGTATTCATTCTTAGGGCTGTAGAGTGCACTCACTAGCGAGTTCCTTGGTGCCGGATGCAGCCATTCTGCCTTATGAGGACTCGTCCAAGCACGCAGCGGGCATCCCACGCATTCCAGCTTCACCGTGTATTCTCGGCCAGCCTCCTCTTCAATGACTTTGCTGTGGTCCGATATTGTCGGACGAGTGATAGCTGCGGTAGCCAGCGCCGAGAGACTGAGAAGAGCAAAAGGACGCATAGTGACGTTAACCGAAGATAAAAAGGAAGAAGAAGATACGATATTGCTCAAGGAAGTGAAGTTCGCACAAGGAGGCGGGAGATGGCCGACGATGCCGGGCGACGCGTAACAAGCCTCGGGCTACGGCAACGCTAGCGCAGGGATCACCAGCTTGAGCGTGGGGAATGCTCATTCTAGAAGCCGCTCTCCTACCAGGATCTTGTTCACGTCGACATCGCATGTGTCAAACTTCACAGCTTTCGCAATTGATGGCATTTTGGTTTACACACTTCTAACTCTGGTAACGATGGTCGCTGACACGTACCGTTCACCACTCATTCATCATCGGTTGTGAAAAAGGTGCAATTAGGTCGTTCTTGCAGGATAATGCGACTACCCATCACGGGGACATGTTGATGCGGAGCAGGACAATGAGACGTAATCCGGCAGTTCTGTATAATGATCTCAACGCTGGCGCACTTCCCAGATCTTGAAGGTGAATCGAACAAGCTCTCTATCAATACCGCAACTACCCAAGCACATCCTCCGCTCAGACCTAAGAACAAAGCAGACTAACATACCAATGTGCCATGATGTATCAGTCATCGACGGGGTTCGAGCGTAGCATGGAGCCATAGAAATCCAATATTCGTCGTCTGGATCAATAGATGCGATACCAGATACGCGCAATAAAACGAGGCATCAAAAGAGTGTGAGATTTCGAAACGAACTGCGAAGCAATATGTACATCAAGGCTACCCCCTCTTCCGTCGAAACGAACCAAAGAATCTGTCATCTTGAGTTCCTGCAAACCTAGTACCCAATCCTACCACCTTCTCTTTCGCCCTCACTCCTTCATCCCATACCTATCTAGATCGGGGTAGCAGTACTAAGATCGATCAGAGTAATCGGCTCAAGGTCATTCGGCGTAGGCGCTGCAGCTCCCTCCCCAGCATCTGTAGCCGTAGGAAGCGTGATCAACGTGATCGGCCCAAAATCATCGCTCGACTCCGTAGTCGTAGCTACGTCAGTAGGCAGGGTAATCAACGTGATCGGTGCAAAATCATCGCTGGTAGTCGCCGGCGCGCTCACGTCCGTGGTAGTGACGTTGGGAAAGGTTCCATTGGCGGTGGGGAAGGCGGTGACGGTGACGGTCAGTGTGGTGGTCACGGTTATGGTATGAGTACCGGACCATGACTTTGTACCCCAGTGTGCGGCGCGGGGGTGGACGTCGGGAGTGAGGCGTTTGAGAGGCGCTACGAGGGCCAGGGAGGTGGGGAGGAGGGGGAGAAGAAATAGGGACTTCATGGTGGGAATAATGGGGGTTGGAATGAAGAATAGTGTGGTGATTGATGAGATGACAGGACAAGATGAAGAGGGTAGGATATATAGTCCTTCGGGCCTTGTTCGAATACGTCAACTTGAAGCTGGATGTACAGAGGCTGATATCTTGACGCGTAAACTCGCAGCTATCTTACACGTTCTGCAAGCTACGGAGTACACTGAACATGTGCCTGTCAGACGCCTTCCGCTGCTTCAAGCAAGTCGCTGTACGCGTATCCAGTGATATCCATCAACTGTCCGTAAGACCACGTGTCGTAGCAAGCCACATTCTCAGAAAGGCGCCCATACTACACAGGCACATTATCCTCATGACTAGATGTCTCTTGCAGCAATGCTCGAGCTGATGTACCCGCCAAGACTACGCGTACTAGATGAGCGTCGGACTTCGCGTAGACTGACTCTTACAAGCGCAGTGTTTACTCCCGTGTCCGTATCTACGAGAACGCATAAGCGGACCTTTTGCGAAGTCCGTACACGTGTTGCTTGAGCTCTCGCTGACATGGAGGGCGCAAACATATGGCCGTGGAGACAGGTGGACTGTCGCTAGAGGACTTTGGCGCGAGCGCACTCGCTCTAGATAATGCGGTGAGATATGCACGCCTCTCCAGAAAACAAATCGCCACGGACTGAATCAATCATAGTGGATTTCGTCGTGATTGTGGATGGACGAGCGATGCAGGACAAAGTTGAAAGGTGAGGAGGCTGGCACGTGGCTGGGCTCGGGCGGATCTGCCCCACCGTGCGTATGATGTCATCAAGTTCTTCCATCCGCTCTCCATCATCTCGGCCCCTTCTTTCACACTTAGACAGTCGCGACAACGCGCAGAACTGGCTCAACTCGCATCATCTCTCAGATTCATTTACGGTTAGATACTAATAATATCACCACTTGTGGACAGACGACGCCCTCATACAATGCCTCAATCTCTACATCATGTTCCCATATCCCTGACTGCCATGGCATACATTCGGCAAGGCTGGAAAGCGGCGTGGTTGCGGCGGTGTAACAGGACTCAGTGAGTGCCGCGCACCCATTGGACACCCGTGAGAGGACGTCCGAAGGGAAGAAAACCATTGGTGCCCGCTCGTCTACCACCAGATGCAATAGCCAGCTCTCATTTTTGATTCCAGCTGCGGTTGAAAACATAGGTTCTACTCACTCTCCTACCGTCTAGAACTTCTTGCCGGGTTACCATGGACTTCACTTTGGACCCAGATATGGCACTGGCCTGGAAGCAAACGAAGGATGCCTTCCACTCTAAGCACGATGGTTCGGCTCTTCGTAAGCCGAAGGAGATGATCTTGGTAATCTTATTCTTGGTGTGCTCTTCGTTCGGAGTCACTAACATTTCAAAGCGTATGCGAAGCAAGAGCTACACATATGAGTCTCTGCCCACGCCCTCGAGTATCCGCATCCTTCAGATAGATAAGGGAGCTTCCGCCGATCCGATCACTTGCCACTTCCGTATTGTAAACCTGGACGACCGCCCAAATTTCACCGCCCTTTCATATTCTTGGCAGAAGGACGCTTCGCTTCTCACCTATCAATTTTCCAAAGGGCTCCCAATCCCTTTCTTTGTGTGGTTTTACAAGCATCTCGCTAAGGCACTTTTGGGATGTAACAACAGCATCGATGATGTCTGGCAGAAAATCGCGAGTGACGCCGAATATGGATGGACAAACTACAACAAGGGCAAGGCAGGAGACGCGAAACCCATATTTCGCGACGGCAAAAAGATCATGATACAGGCCAATCTTTACGAAGCCATGGTTCGCTTGCGATGTTTACGACCTACAGAGTACTGGATTGACGCCGTATGCATCAACCAACGGGATCTGAGCGAGCGAAGTCAGCAAGTCCAAATGATGGGAAGAATCTATCGTTGCGCAGAGGAGGTGGTAGTTTGGCTCGGTAACGTGACGAGCTTCGTAGCCCATCCCTTGCAGGCATTGTTTTCGGTCTTTGGGTCAGAATTGAGTGAGAGAGATACTGTACCAGGACATACGGCGGACGACTCAATGATTCGAAGGGATTCAGAGGGGGTATTAACCGATGAAAGGCTTGATACAGTGGCCAAAGAATATCACGTAACCAGACGCGACCTCGAGGAAACTCTCAGCGCGGGAGCCGCTCTGCTCCTCACCCGTCGTTGGTTTCGTCGCCTGTGGGTCGTACAAGAGTCACGCCAGGCTCGACAAACTCTATTCCTTCTTGGCGAAACCCATTTCAGGGCTAATCTCATCTCGTCGGTGCTGCGATGGGCTGAATACAAGATTGAAAAATCGCGGAATAGTCCTACACCAGGCCTACTTGCGCAGCTTGATGTTATTGCGTCTATATGGCATGCCCACATCAAGCACATCCCCGCGATGCTAGATTCTATGGATTCATCTCATGGCGAAGAAAAGTGGACTTTGCAGCAGTGGCTACAGATGGCAAAGAGTCGAAAAGCCAGTGATGCCAAAGATGTGGTATTCGCAGGTCTGTCTGTTATACGGCCCGAGCATCTGACGATTGACATGTCGTTGCAGGCTCAAGGCCGGGACTCACATTGCCACAATCCAAAGGAGCAAGAGCATACGCCATCATCAGAAAGGCGAGAGAAGCTATGGGACATCTTACACGCCGACTACAACGCCGAGACCTCGACTGTACTCTTGAACCTCGCGGCTTGTATCCTCTCACATTACGATCTCCCTGTTCTATTAGATATTACCATACGGTTTCGTCGTCCCCCACCATATGCAGCGCTCACCGAGCTACCCTTTACCTCATTCCCATCTTGGATACCAGATCCGAGAGCATGGACCTCGAGGGCTTTAGAACCTATGATATCGCTCAACAATCATGGCCGTCCGTTTCCGCTCTCTGCGCACATGTCGAACGCTCAGCCACAGATATCATCCGATGGCACTAAGTTGGCTGTGACGGCTGCTCTTCTGGACACTGTGTCTCAATGCTGTCCAATCCTGGACGTCGTGCTCAGCATCAAGGATTGTGCGGGCGCTATCAGGGTGCTCGACTGGATAGCTGAGACGGTCCCCCGTGTGTACTCTCCAACCGGCTGTTCAGGAATAGAGGCTCTGGCACGCGTAATGGTATCAGCTTACAGGAACCAGAAAGATCCCGAGGGGCAATGGAAAGAGGACACTATGGAGAGAGGGTTCTGTGAGATGCTTCATGGGCTGATTGAAGGTGGCGTAGGAGGGCTTGTCGACATGTGGAACGAGGGACTCGACGTTCTGCCTACCTGGTTAAGATCATATCCATGGCCTTCAGGCTGGGTTGTCAACTACGATGGTGTATTCAAAGCTTATGCCAGGATCAGAGCAAACCATCCAGACGCTCCCTGGCCACCGAGCAATCTTGTGGCTTCAAAAAAGAAGGAAGTCGTCGATGAAGCAAGAGAAACCCACCCTGACACACTGACAGGAGTCTCCATGACCAATATAGCTGGACAAGAAAGTCCCCACTCTGGTAAACGAACTGGTTCAGTGCAAGACACCGGCGATGCTGCGAACACTCGTGACTCTCCCCATGAATCGGACTGGGCATTAGATGTGCTAAATCGCAATTCCGGAATAGGATTACAGAGCCTATTCGTTACCAAAGATGGTTATCTTGGCATCGGTCCAAATTGGCTGAGGAGCGGCGACGGGGTCTTCTTAGTAGCAGACGCTAAAGCCCCATACATACTCGCCCAGGTGGACGATGTCTTGCGAAGACAGGCGCGCGAGATACGTGAACAGCTTGACACGGGCATGAGCAGATCTGTGAAGCTGACAAGGAAACAACGCAAGAGCTTGCGGAAACAGCTGCTTGAAATTGAGGGCAGGCTCGGAGGAGAGAACGCATGGCAGCTGATTGGAGAAGCGTATGTGGAAGGTGTAATGAATGGCGAGGCTGCTGGACTCGCGGAAGCTAGGGCACAAAGGTACAACATTGCGTAGACATGGAGACGCGATCATGTTTCGCTACATGTAACTGAACGAATGTTTCGAGAATCTTTGGTGCAGTTCGAGCAACATGAGTCACCCGTTGCGCGCTTTATTGAGAGTCAGTAGACCGGCTCTGCAAAAGTAACGAACAGCCCTACGTTGCTATTGCAACACTAGTGGTCAGATGCCGCGTTGATCCTCATTTCTCATCGAGTTTCACCTGCCTTCTACCGAATCTTTCAATACGCAACCGAAATGGCGGCCTGATCATGCGAGAATGTGAGTATTCGATGATTTACGAAAGCGGTCTCAAACTAATGATGATAGCAGTGCATGATGGAAGTGGCCAACGCAGAAGCGGCGCACTTATACCGGCAACATCTGGATGTGTGAAGTCGGTCTGTTTACCTATCATTGAAGCAGTTTTATGGCCTTCGGAAGTCTTCGTTCAGACTCAGAAGGCCGCGACTGATCGCACTGCCAACAATATCAGTGAAGCCGGACGTGTCAACAGGACGGAACGAACGGCGCATGTACGCATTACAAGACAGGACTGTTCGACGGCACACGACTTCTCGAAGCAAGGTATCTTCATATAGGCCTGATGTCGGTTTGTCAGAGCCCTACCTGTGACAGAAGTGTGGCACGCCTGTACGGCGTACATTCACAAGGCTCTCGCGGGTACCATGGAATATACGCCGACACCATCACTCTTGTTAATTAGGGTCATCTGCATGCTCATCTGCTCCAACGGTATTGGCATACTGGTGCGTTTGCGACGTACTTCGTTCATATAAGAACAGCCCCGGCAGGCTATCTCTCTTTCCAGCATAAGTTCCACTATTTACAAGAGAATCATTGATTGTATCTATTACTAACAAATAGTTACCATGTCTACATCTCCAACGCCAAATGTCGACCATGTCGATAACACCACACATGGACCTATCCGACCAGCTACATCCGATGGACCTGATTCAGAACGTTCTGTGGACGAGCTCCCGGTCTCGGACCCCTCACACCCGGATTACCCTCCGCTTCGTCACACCCCGGATTATTCTCCACAGCCTCACGTGAGCCTCGCAAGTGCAGACGCAGATAAATCTGTGATTCGGAAAGGGTATCCCTCTGTCGCAGCGCCTGCTGGTCAGCTACATGGCCATACTGCACCGCAAACGGCAGACTACGACACAATCAAATTGAATCCCCCTAAGGAAGCCGAAAACGTCGAGGAAGCCCTACAGCCCGACAACTCTGATGACGCGGATGAAGACGCCGACTGGGATAAGAGTTTCCCAGCTGGCATCCCACGGCTGGCTGAATACATGGCTCGCGTGCCTGAGCGGGCTATTTTCCGTACCTTCCGAACGCTCGGCGTGCAGAATCTTCTCTTCATGCAAGCAGAGATTGACTATCTTGAGTGGAAGCTTCATAATGTGATGACCAATTTCAGAGAGGGAAAAGGCGGCATCACCAAAGAATATGCCACAGATTGGGCTTGGAATACAATGGAGGATTCCGCCAAACCACAGCCCAAGCAGTACCATTTCATCATGCAGATTCGTGAGAAGCTTGAGAAATACGGTAAACTTATCGTTCATCTGTGTGACTATGGCGCTAACCCACGTATAGAAGAAGCACTTCTGCGACAACATATGCTCGCCAAGATCGCAGCGCCCGATCATTTTGATCTCGACCAGATCAAATCCTACAACGTGTCTCGCGCTACACGCGATAACTGGATTTTTCACCACAAGCCTCTTTATGGCCTTCCTGAAGACTGTCTCAAATATGATCGGTTCCATGGACATGTAGCTACAGACCTGATCTCACTCAAGTCGCGCGAATACAGCGACTACTTTACTGTGTGGGTCTGCGAGCGGTCACTTACCATAATCAGAATTTTTGGGAGATTCTTGGAAAAGTCCAAATTCGGTGGCAGTCCAGTACTTTACGACAGCACTCTCAGAGAGTGCACCCATTTCTTCACGGCAGTACTTGCTAGTCTAGTGCCTGCCGCTGTTGCATACATCTCTCAGCATGAGAGAGATGTGTCTCAGATCGTGGTCATGGCGTCGACAAACCTTCTGTTATCGGGCTGCATGGTCTACTTTGCGGACGCGGAAAGAGTGCATCTCTTCCTAGCTGGTATATTGTAAGTATTCTGCGAAAGACTTAGATAATGTGAACTGACTGCCGCACAGGTTCTCCATATTCCAGTTGTTGATGATTTCGAAACAGTAATCAAAGGTGGAGGAATTGCCGTCTTGTGCGCATGTCTGGATGAAAGCTACCTAGGCTGATAGCGCTACATGGTTATCTCTATATCGTCACTGCAAGGTGAGATAGGAACTGCAAGTCTTTCCTTCGTAATCAGCGAACTCAATAGCTCAATGTCATGTGTATTTTCTGCGATTTTCTTGGGTCTGATCAAACAAGCACACGCTACGTCATTACCCTTCCACACACGCCTCTACTGGTCCGTGGTGATTCCATGCGGTTCACTTTCGGGTGCGCACGTTTGCGTCGGATCCACTTCTATACCCTCTCATTCTGTGCAAGGCTGACTACAACCTCTCCCACCACCGAGGTGTCGGTTCAAACCCCCAACACTTAGAAGTACGCGACCAACTCCGCCAGAATCAATCAAGATGGAAACGGCGCCATTGGCCTGTGCCCAATTCATACGCCGTTGCTTGAAGCCGTGTAGTGAGCGCGACCCACCACAAGACGCCCATTGTCCAATATGTACCGAAGAATACGACCGCAGCAGTCACAAAGCAATGCGCGTCGTCGTCCAGCCACCCGCCCAGTGCAACCACGAATTCTGCCACGCCTGCCTCGAGAAGATCTTCGCCCGTCGCAAGACCCAAGACAACACCAACCTCTGTCCGCTGTGTCGCGCCGTGTGGTTCAAAGCCGAATATGAGAGTCTTTCGGCGCGTAGTCGGCGTTTGACTGAAGAGGCTACAGAGGTGCTTAGAGGCGGCAACTCTGCGCCTTCCCTCTTCGCGGACGTGCCCGAAGGCCCTGCGGGCGAAACCATGGCGGATTCTACTAGGAGAGATACGGAGCCACTATTGCAGCCTGCACGTACACCCCGGCCTTACGCGCGTACCAGTCAGCCCCGTCCGCCTACGACTCAGTCATCTACTACATCACGAGACTCCCAATATCGTGGAGACTGGCGCACTGAGCCCGTGTTTACTCATCGTGAGTTCCACGCTGCACTCGCGGCAGGACAAGCGGCAGCCGGACGACCAGAGCCTCAGTCTGCATCTTCAGGGCCTCACACACCTGCAGCCTCTCATCCCCCTCCTTCAACTCCGCAACCCTTCCAGTTCGGCCAGCAACGCACCTCATCCTCAGCGCCTCCACATCGAGCACAGTTCAACTATCCCCCAGACGAAACAAACTCCACACGCCAAGGCGAACAGAACAGAGCAGCGCCACCCCATGCTTTCCAGTCGCTCGAGTTCGAACGACGTTCAGCCGATCTAGATGCTCGCGAAGCGCGTCTGACGCAACGTGAAGGGGAGTTGAGGAGGACGCGTCAAGCGTTGGAGCGGCGAGAGCGGGATTTTAATGCTTTTTGTGAAAGAGGTAGACTGCTTTTTCGTGGCCGGAATGAGGGGGTCTGAGAGGGAGGGGTAGGGACGGGTGTGAGAGGATGAGGTTGTACGGTTTGCATTCATGGGCTCGTGGGGTTAGACTTGATTGCTGCATGAAGGTTTGGTGCGATTGGGTTGTTCAAGGGAAGCGCAGACGACGGATAAGGTCCTCTGGTGTCATTGGAATGCTAAAGATTAACTGGATGGGAACAGGACGCGGATACTTAGTGATAATCCCAGTTGTAGCTACAGTGTGTTCGCTACTTTAGACCACTGGCATTTGCCAAAAAGTACAGCAAGAAGCGCTTTCACAATGGGATCGTTTGACAAACAGATGCTCACACCTTGATAATATGGGAAGATAGCAATTATTAAGCTTATTGCATGGATATTTCGCATTCAAATGATACGGGATGTCTACCCCGGATACTGGGACAAGCCAGATCTCGTGATCGTGATTAGCTCGCGATTTCATCAATTCTTGCATAAACCTTTGTCCTTCTACATCCTCCTGAAATTAGCGGTAAATTGCATCATCTCAGCGCGCAGTATATTCCTCTCCCTTTCAGCGCGCAGTATTTCCCTTTGCTGCTCCTCCTGCTTGCGTTCGAAATTGACACACAGAAGCTCATTGAGATAACGGCTTTCATTCCAGAGACGAGTCAGTGTTTGCCTGAGGGCGCGGTCTTCATCCTGAATAGTCGGATCAGTGCGTACGACTTGAAGAGCCAGGCCTATCTGCCCCCCACCCTCAAGTGGGGGAATCACGATAGTTTCGATGTTTTGCAAAATATTGCTGACTTCAGTTAAGTTTGCCCAGTGCCTATCGCGTTGTTCACGCTGTTGCGGACTGAGGACTTGTTCAGTTTCTTCCTCTTCCTCTTCCTCTTCTTCTTCTTCCTCTTCTTCCTCTTCCTCTTCTTCCTCTTCCTCTTCTTCTTCTTGTTCATCTTCATGTTCATCTTCATTTTCTTCTTCGAATTCTTCTTCGAGTTCTTCTTCGAGTTCTTCTTCGAGTTCTTCTTCGAGTTCTTCTTCGAGTTCTTCTTCGAGTTCTTCTTCATCTTCTTCTTCAAATGCTGCTTCAACTCTTGCTTCAAATTCTGCTTCAAGTTCTTCTTCTTCTTCGTCGTAGAAGACCTCATAGAAACGTTCTTCTTCGTCTTCGGCGCCTGGCTGCGATGGGGGTAGTCCACCAAGCGCGCCACGTATGCATTGTCGACAAATAGGACAGTAATGGGCCTTTTGCATACCGCTATTGACCCAACATTGTAAGCAGTCTCGGCCGAAAATGTGACTGCAATGTGTGCCTAGAAGCTTGATAGCTACATGCTGATCCTCGTCATAGTCCCCCTGGCAAATAGGGCATTCTGAATCGTGAAGTGTTTCGGAGGCGGACAACACCATGTATCGCTCGATCGTAGCCGGGGGAGGCGCGTTGATCTCAGTCCATATCGATCTTAACTGTGTCATGGCATCAACTATGTGTTCGAACATCCACATCTCGCAACTCTGTGAGCCATCGTGGGACGGCTGGGATGTGTGATCGTCGTTCTGCTGATGAGACATCTCGGTACCCATGATGGATTTTGTGCGAGTTATGAATAAGTGCTTGAAGGTTGTTGTCGAGCTATGTTAGTGTGGAGAAGAGGTACTGCAGTGCTTGGTACAATTCTTATAATGCTTCACCGTGCATGAAGCACCCACAGGCTCAAAGTCGACAACACTGTCCAAAACTCGAACCCATTGTGAACCTACCGATTCAGGAGTGAAAGCCTGTTAGGCCTCTCTTTCCCTCATCCAGCTGGTGTTGACAGTGTTGAGACGGCAGGAGCGATGAGACGAGGCTCTATGGAGTCGCGCAACTTCGCAATGATTTCGTTATGCGAGTAAAAGCATCTGCCACATCGAAAGCGGAGCGATAAATTGTTGCCGTCAATGGCGACATGATCAGGAATTCCCTTGCACGGCGGATATGTTATGGCAGTGTAGATGGCGCTCGCGACTGACCTCGGAACACTAGCTAGCGTTCAAAGCTATCACAGAACTGGATTAGCGCCGTCGCTTCAAGTGCATCCCTGCGGACAAAATGTCGATCACGTTCAACTTTTGGCATCTGTCGAGGTGAAGAGCAGCGAAACACATCGACATTGAAGCCGCAATTGGGATTTATCACGACTCCAACTTAGACATCCTCGCTCATTCGGTTCCGAAGATGGCCGACTCAGCAAACAACTCAAACGGTGCATCTACCACACAGGCTGAGCCGTCCACCTCATCGTCACAAACACCCAACGCACAGCCAGAGTCTGCATCCTCATCATCATCCGCACCGCCTCAGGCGTGCGCGCAATGCGGGAAGTCTCCGGACACGCTCAAGCAGTGCATCAAGTGCCACAGTGTAACGTACTGCAACAAAGACTGCCAGAAGGCGCACTACAAGGCGCACAAGAAAGCATGTCCTATGCTTGCGCAGGAGTACGTGAAGCTGCATGAGCCGAAGATGGCATCGAAATCCAGTTCAAGTGCGCCAGGAGCAAGGGACAAGGGACTGCAGAAGTGGCAGGTACGTTGTTCATGTCTCACTCTGTTGTTAAGTTGGTGCTAATGTCGATAGTTTGATACTTGAGTGTAAGAGTACGTAAGGGCGATGGTGGCGCGGCGATTGACCGAGGAAGTGTCTTGATGGAATTAAGCTGGACCAGCGTGGAGCTAAGGTGAAGGTACTTGGATATAAGCCAAAGCAAGAGGACCCAGAGCTCGAGGTGGGCTGTCGTAGCCCGCAGGCACAAAAGCTTGGTATGGTGTTTACGTTTCTGCGGCTGGATTTTGGTCGCAGACAATGAGCAAGGCGCATCGCCGGACAGACCTTGTAAGCAGAGTCTGAAATCTGACAGTCAATGCACGAGTGGATCGGTCGCAGAATTATCAGCGAAGTTTTACGTTTGTAAACTATGGAATAAACCCTGAGCTCGGTAGTGGCGAGATGAAAATGCGCGCGTCGGCAAGTCCCGTGACAAGCAGCATGGCGCTGATCATTAACTTAGGCTGCATCCAGCTAAAAAGAAGTTTTCACGGTTTTCGATTGCTGACAATCAAGAATCCGCTGGCCAAAAGAGACATCTCGATGGGAAGCCTAGACTCGCATGGCCCTTCGCCTTGTAGGGCAAAGCGTGTCGCGGCAGCTGAGTGTGGCTGCACTGTGTGACTGCGGGTAGATAGCTTGGAGGCTTGCTGGACCCATGCCAAAGACGCGCTGTAAGCTCGCACCAAAACGTTGGCGAGGGTAGGTGACTGTGGAGCGAATTGAAAACTTGTGCGTTTTGGCCATGAGCTGTGCAGAGACTGGCTGCGTTCTAGGAGGCGATTGGCAGGGTGCGGCGCCGTACTCGTGTACGCTGGCTCCCCACGGGAGCCCTATGGGTGTGCGTTCAATTCGTATCAAACAACTTCAGGACTAGCCCGGCTTGTCGTGCAGCAGGGAATCGACCCACCGAACAGTCGGCGCTGCAAACAACCAAACAACGGCAGCGTGATGAGCGATGGATGGGCATGCTGGTGATGGAGCTAGGCTGCCATGTGTGCAGGGAGCAGCGGGTGCGGTCAGGCCATTTCGCTGGTGTGAATTGCTGTGGCCGCGAGGTCTAGATTTCAGCTGCTGAGACCCTGGGCCTCCAAAACACGCTAGCATCAACCGCAGCGAACATCGGGTATTCACTCCGCAAACCCAACCTAGCCCACCTGGCCCTCGCACCGCGTTGGCCTGGTCGCTCTGCTGTTACATGACTGTCTTGGACGCAGCGACCGTCTTCCCCAGGCGACCATCCACTCGTTTACCGCCAGCCCCTTCCACCTGTCAATACTTCCCACGCGGCCGTTACTGCCGCCGCGGCGCTACCGCGTTTGTACCTGGACGCCAGATCTTTCAGCCACGTCTCCGTGCGTCTGTTCATCCCACTTACCCAGCATAGCGTGATTGTGCGCGTTACCGGCAAACATCTCAGACCCCCTTGGTCATGATGACGGGCTTCCAGTCCTCGTCACATCTTCTACAGCCATCTGACGCTGATAATGCCCCTCCTCGCTTTCACCAAGACTCCCACCAAGCGCTCCAGCCCAACTCCATCCCACCCACTCCGGATGAGGGCATAGATGCGGGTCCCTGCCCCGAAATAGCGGTTCCCAACGATATCTCTTCGTTTCTCGACGCTTCTCTGCCGCAGCCTTTCCCGCTGGCTTCCGCCTTACCCCAGCCTCTTAGGACTCCCACCATCGAGGACCGGCCGCAGCTTGATCTGACCCTCAACCTTCCTCAAAGCAACTTCTCGCTTCCCACGTCCACGGTCCTTAGGAGTACGCACAACCTGCGTCTACCCTCGTTTGATGTCCTAGGCATTGCTGCGCCCCACCCTGATCGTATCCCACAGCAAACACACCACTCCTTCTCTCCACTAGGCGCTGGACCTCTGTCGAAGCCAGAAGACCCTCTCCATGCGCTCAGCCCACCACTCGACTTCTTCAGCCACGCCAACGGGGCCAGTCATACCCCCGTTACCAGTCCCAAGGAAGCTAGAGCCCGCGTCGGACATCTTGTGTCCACTCACACGCCTCCCTCGGATACGGAGCCGGGGACGATCAGTTGGGGATCCTTTGTGAACCCACGCACGGTTGGGCTGGGTTCACCTCCAAATTCTGAGCCAGGGGTGTCACCAAATCTGAACATCACTGCCAGCGCTACAGCTCCCAGTCAAGCGCCTATAATCGTACCGACCCACGAAGAGTTCAACGACGAGTTCAGCGACGCGCTGAGGATGGCAGCGTGGATAGAAGAGGCAAAAAGCACCATCAGTGAGTACTTCCTGCGCCTGAATGACGCATAGTTCCGTTCGCTAATCAGCTTAGTAAACGAATCTGGATGTCTGGAGCTTGACTCAGTCAAGATTTTGTCCCACGCATTGCCTTGTCCATCAACATCAGGCCACATCTTCGGCCAAGTCATCGCTTCTATCCATGACAGATCGTCAACGCAAACCTCGTGGATCAATGTATTCCACGCCCTTCCTGGTCGTTACACGCTCATGGATCTGCCAAAGTCTCCTCCATCGACGCCTGGCCCTGCTGTCGGAGGAGATTCTTACTTTACCAGCAAAGTCTTTGACAGCGCGGTCGCTATTCCAGACTATCAACTCGATTCGAAACTCCTGCCCCCATCGCCTCGACCCGTCGTGCCACCGGGGAGCATCAATGTTTCGATTGTAGAGCGATACATTCCGCCTACTAACACTAATGAGTTCGCTGAGATGTTCACTTTCCGGGGCAGATCTTTGCTGTACGACCGCTTAATCGAGCTTTCCAGCGATGACGGCGTCCTTCTATTCATCTATCCGACCCGGACAGGTGCGAGGACCTTTACGCAGCAGTACCTCGGACCAATTCTCGACCCACTCTTACGCACGGTAACGGTAGTCCACGATCTCCACTCAGAGCTAGGAAGGAACCTGGGTCAAATGAGTTCAGTCAATTACCTGGATGAGTACAACCACTTGGAGGCACAAGTCCGGAAGTTCTGCGGAGCAATGGGTGAACGACATAACAATGAGAGAAGAGCAAACTATGAAGTTATTCATGCGGCGAAAGAAGAGATCCTGATGCAACGGTCAGCTTGGGCGGACGATTGGTGGATCAAGCAAGAGAAACCCCGTATACGGGAGATAATCACCAAGTACTTCAGCAAGTCGAAAAAGCTCCCAAGCTCCGAGATGAGCGCTGCAACTCTGATCCAGGCCGTACTGGAGGGTGTTTCGGAACGAGACTACCATAACGGCGAGCCCACGAAAGGTGTGGAAGTTGGTGTCTTCATCGTGAAGAAGACGAAGGCGGTGGCGAAAGCCCAGAGGGAACCATGATGAAGGATTACGCTTTTAGATGACGGGACTGAGTATCGAGCGCGAGGCAACGAAGTTACGGGTGAACGACGATCATGATCTCCAGTTGCGATGATCTCAGATTTTCGCATAGCATTGCGCGGCGTTAGCGGCATGAAACGAGCGAGAGCCCTGTCTGGAACAGTATAAAAGATAGCGAGTGATTATAGTAATAATACCCAGTAACGATCTCCACCTGAATTCCGCCAAGCTATGAACAATGTGAACCTACATTTTGCTTCCATTCTGGCAAGTTTACCCTCGGTCTGCCAAGACGCTAGCGCGAAAAACTGCCCTTTGCTCACCTTGCGGGTGTCGCTCTGGCTCACGCGTTGTGTAGACGGAA